TTTATTCCAGATCAATTCAGCTGTAACTGGAATATTCTAAAAATTAGTAGCAAGACTGGAAACTACTATGACTGGAATACACGAGAAGCAGATATCAGTCAAGAACGAATATTCTAGAGATCTTCATAAATGTATAAATAGTTGAAGTAGTACTCTGATAGTTAGCCACAGAGAAAATTATAAACTACCTTTGTATATCTGATTGCTCCAGCATCGTCACTTGAACCGTGACAACAATAGTCCGATTCATTCGCTCAACTTTTGCGTTTTGTTCTGGGGTATCTGCTGTCGTAGTCTCATGTATAGCTCCTATTTTCATGATAGCTTTCTTGAGTTCTGGTGCACCATCTAAACGAACATACATCAATTTTTTCCCAGATTCAAGTTCTACTTCGCGTTTCCATCCTGGCAGTATCTCTAGTACTTCCGACTTATAGGCTATGAAGAACACCCAAGTCATGCGAGAATACTCATCCACAATTACAAACATGTAACGACTACCTCCAATTGAAGAATGCTTGTATGGACCCCAAGTATCTATAAACCTCTTTCTAGTCTCTTAGTTGCTGGATTATTAGGCTCAGATCAATTCTGGTTTCTTGTCGATTTCGTCAGACTCCATGTATTGCAGTTAGAAGAATCATCTGGCTTGATTGTTGGCATTCCGCTAACTGCTCGAGATATTTGACCTAATTTTCCTGCCCCCGAATGCCCGAGACGTCGATGCCACAACAAAGTCTCCTCCTGTGCTACTAACCTAGCTGTTTGTGCTAACTCCTCAGTTTTGTGTGCTCGTAAAATCCATGTATCACCAACTTTAGGACCTCTCGCCATTACTTTCTCAGCACGCTTGGTGGTAACCTCTTTTCATCCGAGATAAACCAAAATTCCCTTGGAGGCCAGTTTATCGGGAGAGAGAAGATTTGAATGAAGTTCTGGAATGTGGAGAACCCTCTTGAGTATTATATTTTGGCCATTTATTGGAGAGCATATATTACCTCGACCAATGACATTTAGATTCACATTGGTCTTAGTTGTACCGACTGTGGAGTTAAATCTTTCATATACAACAAAGATGCTTTTATTTGATGTCATATAACTCGTAGCCCCCGAGTCAATGCACCAGTCGTCAGCTCCGATTTTTGTTTTATCGTACGCAATCCATACAATGCCTGCTGTTTCTGGTTTTTGATCTAGACTTTTCTTCCTTTTTATTGTATCATCATTTTTTTTCTTCCTGCAGTCCGGCTTAATATGACCAATTTTCCCGCAAAAATAGCACTTGCGCGTATCCTTTTTTGTTTTATTTTCATTTGTGTCATCAGCTCGGAGAGCGGTTTCACTGGAAGAATCTTTGGTATTAAATTCAGCCTGTCTTAGTTTTTCCACAACTTCAGCAAAGGTATGTTCACTCGCTACTATGCGAATAGTTTCAACTGTTGTTTGATATTTTTCGGAAAAGCACCTAAGCAGTGCATCTTTCTTGGATAAATCTGTAGGTTTGTCCTGTATAGAAATTCCACCTATACGAGCTTGTAATTGTGATAATGATGCCGCAACATCATCCACCCTCTTCTCCAGATCTGGCGAAGAGAACTGAAATTGGTGAGAAGATAATTTTCCCTTACTTGGTGTTGGAAAACCGGTATGGGTTCGATGAGTAAGGCGGTTCAAAGAATATGGGCGCGATTTTATGAATAGATTAATAATGATATGAATCGGGAGAATATGTGATAAACTGTGGAGAAATAAAAGATGGTTTGAATAAATTGAATTGATTTAATTATCTGTCTTAGTGATTCTTAGACAGCTTATATACATGTAATCTTGATAGACCAAATCCAGACTAGATACCATCCATCACTCGTTCCATACTCTAACAATGACAATGAAACGCACGACAGTATACAATATGAGTATGGGGTCAGGGTCGGTGGATGAAAGCCTACACGTGTATCAGACCATACCATGCACTAGTCGAGTCTCAAGCATCAAACATGCTCAGTAAGGGAGATATCAATCATCTAGGTCGTGAGTCATGTGTGAGAATCTTAGTTGTTCCAATCATGGGAAACTTCAGACACATAGAGTCTGAATTTCCAACACTTGGTCCTCCATTTATTTCCTACAATTTTTCAAGAATTTCTTTCGGTGTTCTGAGTCCCAACAAGTAAGTCCTTTGGTTACCTGCTGCTGCTTTCAATAAGACCGCAATTTTTGCTGATTTCATCCTGTTATTTTCATCAGCAGTTTTTAGTATATCATTGTTGATAAAATCTCCCCAGCCCTGTGACTCAAAATAGTCCTCTATCACATCCCTCCATTCGACATAGTTAGAATGTGTTAGACTAAGACCGTTAAAACCTTGTATAGTAAATTCCCTCGTATCGTCCATGTTGATGAATCCTTTCCGTGTGATAACAACTCTCCGCAGAGACGACAACGAAAACAAGTAAATATTTATGTAGGTAGCTGAATCGTGAGTTATATCAATCAAATCCCGGCTGCACAGTGGGCAAATGCGGGCTCATAACTATTGTAAAATTCGGATGGTTTCTATTTTCTCCGGTATGAGCAGGTCTATATCGCATAACATTTACACCTAGTTTCTATCATATCCTTCTACCTAATTATGTGCATTCCTAACTAGAATTGTTGAGATTTGTCTTATCTCCACCTAGCGCATACCACTTCCCAGTTAATAGTTGGCACTTCCAACTTCATTGTTACACAGCGAACTAGGAGCAACACCATGAGGAATTCTCATTACATTATCTTCTAATTCAACAGGTATTATGATATCAAAATAGTACACTTTGTTAGTCTTATTATTTCCGTGACCACTATTTCTGGGCCAATCTCTACTCTCCTGGCCAACGTGTATACTACCATTAGAACTGTGGCAATACGGAGAGCAAATGTTTCCGATGATTTCTCCAATTTTACTCCTGATTCGTTGAGTTTGTCTGGCGCTTTCAGAAGGCGAGTCTTTGCATCAGAATCTTTGTCGCGTACAGCAAATCTTTCGGGTATACAGCGTACGTGTTCCATATCCGATGGTGCGCATTCGGCCTATATTGTTATGGCTTCACGTATGCTAGATGGGGAGAGGCGTTTTCACTCGTGTGTATCCGTAGGCGGATGAATAGCCGATCGTAAGCCTCTGATTTTGACCTTGTTGTTTGTACGCTCTATGGGACTGCTGCTCCCTTTGCGTTGATTCTTGCAGCCCAAATCTGGCAATTCCTGCCCGAATGTTTTCCCGGGCACGCGCCAGGGATGGGCTCTATTCTTTAGTATTATTAAGTCGAGCTCTTGGGGGAGCTATGGTGGCGTGGACTCCAGGCCCGTGTTGATAAATTGAGCAATTGCTGCACGCAAATATGCCTTCATTGAGTCGACGTAGGCCTTATTGTTTCCCGCAGCCAAAGGGGAGAGTACGGCCTCCACGCCTCTTATTGCAGATGTGCATGACAGAATCTGCGCAGACTTTTGTGCTACCCTTTGGTTTTCGGCTTCCACTACAGCTCCCAGCTCTTCGGGACAGAATTCTCCCCTAGCTGCAGTGTCAGTTTCGTTGGATGATTGCTGGTTTGAATCAAGGGCTTCTCTAACTTTGGAGGCTAGACTGGGGCTGAGGCACTCGAAGAGCTGCCCGGGATTTTCTTGTTGGTGCTTCCACTTCTTTCTGCCATTGTTAATGGCACGGCGAATTTTATCGGAGGCAGTGTCTGCAGTCCGGTAGTTACCTTTGCTAGGATTTTTGGGTCGTCGCGGCTTTTTCTGCTCCGGTCGCGTCTAGCTTGGAGTATATTGAGTTGGGTAATCTATTCACATTCTTAAGAATCTTATCAATATCAAGGTTGCCAATATCTAACATCTCATCATCTAGGGCATTTCATCGATCAACTAATCGATGTTCATCTCTTTAACAGCAGTCAGGGGACCCATCTTGTCGCTTGCTTTCTTTCGAGCAACATGTTTGGCCTACTTGCGGTTGTCTGCGATGTCTTTCGCCCGCGATGGCTTACTGCGAACCGGGAGCATATTGGTAGCCTACCAGTCGCTCAATTATTTTGAGTGAAGGGCGAACAATATCACGATATCGAGAGAGGAACGGAGAGGGGGAAAAAGGGAAGATTCGAAATTTCGAACCTCAAAAAATTGTGAGTGTGTGATAGTCTTCCTCATACAATTGTCATTTTTGCGACCGAGCCCTTGACATCCTCGTTGACTTCGAATTATTTACGAAGTCCCAGATCCCATATCGCCAAAGCATTGGACCTCCTCATCGTACCGCTGGGTTGTTGTCGTCATTGAGGATTTGTATAATCCCTTCGGTGTATCTTCCCTTTATTACCTACTTTGTACACGTCCCGTTTTCATCATGACTTTCCTTATTAAGGCGTGTGTAGGTTGGCGGTGTGACGAATATGGAGGTGGGTCGCAGGTGTAGGATCGACCGAGAAATGCTTCGTCGCAGATATAAAAGTTGTTTGAGAGATGTTGGTTGTTTCAATATGATCCCCAGATAGTCTAATGTCCATTCGTGAATCGTATTTTGGTGGTGATGAGTTTTTGTTCGACTTTCTTGCGGTTGTGAAATCTCTGTCAACAGATTTTTGGACTAAAATACTAAATACAACTCCTTCGTGCCGAAAATACATCACACAACAATCATCTCACCCTATTTCTTTGCCTGAATCTCGGCTCTGGGAGAATATTTCATTCACAGTTTCGTTGATGACAACAATGGCAGGTGGTTAGTGTTTGTACTCCCAGGGACCTTTGTCAAGGCCGGATGTGGCCCAATTCACGCCTTATCTATCAACTTTATGCCTTATCACTCTTGAGAGTTTGTCAGGCCATGAAATAGCTACGTATGGCCGTCATAATCTATCTCTATCTCTGGAAAAACACAATTATGGCCCAAACGTGTCACAGTAGTTATTGTAAACTACAACACCGCTCACTTCCTCTAATTTGAGTTGACATCACTCATGTCGCGCTTCATCACAGATCTAACGATACGCATTAGAAGGCAAGCGTTACGCCAATGGAGGCTGGCCTCCCACACATCAGTTTCTGTACCTAGGACATGGAAATTCCTCAAAATTTCAAAAATTAGCAAATTTAATCATCTACGAGATCTAGTGACATTCCCGCATCTTCTTATTCTTCTTTGGGTTATTTGTCTATTATGGGGTGAAAGATGGGTATTTACAACAAGCTTACAAGATTGTAAATGGGAAAATTGGGAACGCTGGGTCAGTCAAATATTGTGGTAGCTTGATTTCTAATTAGAACCTAACATTCTCAAAGCCCAAAGAAGCAACACCCCATCACTTGATATTCATAGCAGATCCTCAGCTTATTGATCCTCACAGCTATCCTGAACGGCCATGGATACTACAATGGCTAACTATGCTTTATACTGACAAATATATCAAGCGGTCCTATATATCTTTGCAGAAAAAATTACATCCTGACACGATATTCTTTTTGGGCGACCTATTTGATGGCGGAAGAGAATGGAGATCTATCCATGATAATAGCATAAGAGAACCTTTGTGGTTATCTGAAAAGCGCCCCAAGAAAGAACGTGAATATGCAAAGATGTGGGGAAAATTTTATGGTGAAGACTATTGGTTGCGTGAGTATGACCGTTTTGGGCAGATTTTCTACCAAATCAAGAATATAGGAGGATCTAGTCCTGGGCCCTGGCAGAGAGGCAAAAAAATTATCACCAGCTTACCTGGAAACCATGACCTTGGATTCGGAGAAAATATCAAACTATCAATTCGCAATCGTTTTGAGATTTACTTTGGCGAAGGGAACCGGGTTGACGTGATAGCCAATCATACTTTTGTTTCAGTTGATACGGTTTCTATGAGCGCCAGTGGATCAAGACACGATGTGTCAAAAATCACGAGACCTATTGATGAATTCCTAGCTACTGTACAAGACACCAAGAGGAAGGCTGTCTCAAGAGAGCTCAACTTCATAGCTGGTGTCGAGGAAAGAACTCAGTATGCTCACAAAGTGGAAGACCTAGAGAGCACTAGCTTTTCAAATTCTTCGAGTTATGATACAGATTCTAGCCACGCTGAGTTTCCTACCATACTTCTCACTCATGTCCCCTTATATCGTGAGCCTGGTACCCCTTGTGGACCCAAAAGAGAACATTGGCCGCCATCAAAGTCAGGTGTTAAGGACTCAAATCTTGTCACGCCCGACGAGCGGAACTCCATCTCAATTTCTGGCGGTTATCAGTATCAAAATGTGCTTTCCCCAGAAAATTCAGTAAAATTAATTTCCTCCATTGGAAATGTTAAAGCTGTATTTTCGGGCGACGATCATGATTATTGTGAGATCGTACATTCTTCAGATAAGAATAATGCTAGAGAAATAACTGTCAAAAGTATTAGTTGGGCCATGGGTGTCCGTCTACCTGGATTTCATATGATGTCCATGTGGAATCCGGTTGACATTCAGGGTATACCAATAAGTGGACCACAAACAAGTACTGAAGCACCGATAACAATGCAGTCAAACCTCTGTCTTCTTCCTGACCAAATCGGGATCTTCATAAGATATTTATTCTTATTGATATTCACTCTATCTTCACTTACACTACATGCAATTCTGAAAGCCTCTTCAGATACAGCAAATCTTCCCTTAAGATCATACTATACAGTCCACTCAAATGTACGAAGGGATTCAAGACAAGAGACATACAACTCATCACACTCTGGTACTTCTTCAACCTATTACAATGGGCATTCTAATCTAGCATCGAGAATTCTACCTGCAAAAGCAACGTTTTCAAGTTCAGCCGATAAAAATGGGACTTCAGCTTGTGAATCAACACAGATATTTCCTTATAATCATCACACAGATGACAGGATAAGTAGTGAGTCGAATAGTTGTATAGATTTAGAGGACTTGAGGAAGTTAGACTCTCAAAATACGTACCCAGAAACAGAAATACGTAAGAGAAGCATCAAATCTCAAATAATGAGAAAATTTTGGGCAAGTTTTTGCCATGTACTCTTTGTAATCGTGCCCTTTTACCTATATTTAAACTGGGCTTATTGAGCTGACTTCGGCCAACAAATTGCTACTTGTAACATATGTCACTAAGATATTTTCACAGATAATGGGCTGTACTAATGAGCCTCGATTTATTATTCTCTAGTATGCTGTTAACGCAAGATGCGACTTGAACTATGATCATTGTATCCCTAGTATATAATTAAAATAAAGTGAATTAATAGACGGATATAAACGAAACAAAAACTCTACATCAAATTTCGAAAAAGGACACTCAGTTAAATTTTTATCAAATTTAAACAATCTAAGCCGTGGGACAAATGAATCCAGGATAACTTTTGGTTCCTATCACGGAGAGCATTTTAAAGATAGTCCGATACAAGATCACTTGGCAGCTTTTAGTATAATTGTCAAATAACTGATTGCTTAGAACCTACTGAATCGAGTAATGAGAATCATTGGGTCTTTGATTGACTTATCGTCTCGGATTGACTGTCTCGGGTTTCGATATCTCTCTCAGGAAATAGCGATCAGGATTTTCAGGATTTTCAAGATAATCAAAGCATCAACTTAGGATCTTTAATCTCCAATACATATAATTTATTTCATTATGTAATGTTGGGAAACGAAAAGATATTCTCTCCCAGGTATAGCTTCAGATGGGTATGTAGCACCAAGGCTGGAGAGTAGTAGATGAGCAGGAATTTTATCATAATACCTTTAAATTACATTTTTCATTTGACCCTCAGTGTCTAACAATAAACCTCTTCGACCCAGGAAATACAATATTTCTTTTGGGCCAAACGCAATCATGAGTAACAACGTGGCCAGTTAAATTTTGATGAATCTCCGTCTTGGAGGACTGGCAGGAAAGACCAAAGCTCGCGACAGAACGTCAGAAGTACGATAGTCTTAAATTAATTATCCATTTATGTACTATTTGAATTTACAACTTTATAGGATAGACTATTTAAATACAACTTGTCTTTTTCATTCTAATTTGGGGTTTCTGTTAGAATATGATTCTTTTAGACGGGTGATACAGAGTGGTCTCAAGGAGCCGTGTTATCAGTATTCCGTAGGGTACGAGTTTGGTACAAGTTGGTTACAGGTGTGGAGTATGGTGGTGATTCCTAAGAGTAGGAGGTATAAAGTCAGCGTTAGGTATAGGGTTCACGGAAGAGGTAAAGGTAAAATAAGTGGTAGGTGAGAAGGGTACAATAACGGCGGTCTTCTTTAGAGAAGAGATAAGTAAGTGAACAATAGGTATGAGTATAAACAGAAGACGTTGCGTGAAGAAGAATACTCCTTCACGCTGGGTATATATGTACATCAGATAATAGGACAGCCCTAAGCTCTGTCTCGAACAGTATTACTACGCAATCCCTATGAAACGACCATATGTTCCTGAGCCTGTCCTAATTATTTGAGAACTTGATCTAACCCCGAGTTGTGTTTTAGAATGGAACTCCCCACGAGACACCATCCTAGTTTCCGCCACGTTTATCCATGAAATGTGGCTGGAAGTAGATTCGATAAAGTATAGGGTTTAACAAACGTTTATTATTACTGCCGTATTAGCAATCCCTAAGAAAGCTGCAGCTTGGCTCGTACCAACGTTCCACTGTTAGGCTGATCTATACGCGAATATGGAACTACTAATACAGGGTATATAAGATCTCCAAACGCCTTAACCTAATTACTCCTAAATAAATAATAATCATAACCATAACACCGTTATACCTGCCGTTGGAAGGGGGAAAACAGCGCCTTGGTGGACTGCGAACTATAAAAGGCGATAGATCGACTACAGGATAGCCAAAAGGACATCTGGAGATATAGAAATGACCCGTAAGGTTTTCCGAGCCGCAGTGAAGTCAGCCAAACTCTAAAACTGGACAAAGTAAGTCGAGGCAGCAGAGATAGAAGCACAAGTGTTCAAGTTCATGCGATGGGCCAAACCAAAGCCGAAAAAACAGCTTCCTCCTCCCTAGTTAGCAGCAAACCAGTAGCTTTCAGATTCACTCGAGCAGACAATCGCACTTCATGATTCTCTTCTTGCAAGTTTTGACGCTAAAAGTGATACAGAAACGTAGGATAATGATCAACCAGAGTCTATTCCATGGAGCAGAGAGGTCTCACTGGAAGACGTTCTAGTATCAACCATTGTAAGTAAAGTAACGGCTCCAGGATATGACAAAATCATCGTTCGACTCCTTAAGGCTTGCTAGAATACAATTGGAACATATGTCAGGGACCTCTTCCAGGCATATTTGAACATGGAGTACTTTGCTACGTCGTTCAAAGTAGCTGAAGTTGTTGTCACGGGACTAAGAGCTAGCGCCGTACACTAGGATATTAATATAGATCCCTCCTATAGATAACCTTCCGAACACAAGTCTCAGTGCAACACAACACAGCGCCAACAATCTTCAGCAAATAATCTATATATTTTCTGCTCATTAACCCTCTATCAAAACGCTCTTAGAATAGCTCTCTTAGAGCTATGGCGTCTGTCGACGGTGACGTTGACATGTCGCCACCAGTGCCGCCCACGCGTGCGTCACCTCCCCCCTCACTGTATCCGAATTTAAACCCGCCAAAACGAAAGCTTCGAAACGACCTTCCTGCTGGTGCCAAGGACCCTCAGCCCGTGGCAGTCACTGACTCTTCAGCCCCTACCACGGAAACGCCACCCCAGACTTCAAACCCCCCAGTCAATTCACTCGCCCGAGCTACCGACGAAGCACTTGACGAAGTCCGACAGTTATTTTTCAAACGAGAAGGTATTGCTAGGGAATATTCCAAAGCACTGGACGATGCAACCGGGCGCCTACGCGAAATGGGCTTGGAATATCTCACTGACAATCTCACATCAGCGATTGCTCGGATTCTGCAGCAATTTGCAAGGGGAGAGACTAATTTCAGTCACGTCAACCAACAACAACAAAGGACCTCGCAGTCACAACTTACCCCAGGACAGTTGCAAAATGGACATGCGCCCACCTATGCTCAGGTAACAAGAAGTCAGACGGTCAGTAACGCGAGCTCAAATCTCCCGGAAAAACCAATTCTATCAACTACACCTCGAACAGACCAGATCCGAAAGACTGACAACAGAATCTTTATCCGGCTCCCCCAGGATCATCCCAGCCGTGCTCATCATGTCCACGCCGTCAAGGCAGCGTTAACTAAGAATCTAGAACTGGAGCACGAATCTCTAAAAACAGTTCAAAAAGTTAAGTCGGGCATCGCTCTCGTGCCTACAAATGAGAAACAAGCGGAACAGATTTTGACCAAGTCACAAGAAATTACGGCTACTCTCGGAGGAATAGTTGAGAAAGCAGAGCAATGGCATACATACATCATTGACCACGTACCACGGAAACTCCATTCTCTGGACGGTACCAGATGGAACGTAACAGAAGACTATGCTCGGGAAGAAGTCCAATCAGTCACAGGGTTTACGCCAGTCAAGATAGCATGGTCGAGAAAGTCCAACGAAAACCTAGCCCCAACCGGCACAATTGTGGCCTCATTTAAGCAATCCATTCGTCCTTTTAGAATTTTCTGCACAAGCTCTATCGCCCGGAAAATTACAAAATCACCTAGACCTTCCCAGTGCCCCAAGTGTTGGGGATTCCACGACGCAAGAATCTGTAATCAGGAACCTAAATGCAAACAATGCGGAACAACTGGTCACTTATCATGTCAGGCAGCCCCAAAATGCTCAAACTGTAAAGGACCACACCCTGCGGATGAAAGCTACTGCCCAGCTCGACCGGTAGTGAGAGGAGGAATAATCAGGCCACTCACTCAACCAGAACTCAAAAGGATCCGACAAGCTGGACATCGTGCTTGGCAACTAGTCAACCCCTCAACTCACGCAACAGAGACCCCCTCTGCCCCGACTCAATGTTAGACACAAATAACAGAAGACATAAAGGATACCTGAAAATATTTCAGGCCAATGTTGCCCGAGGGCAACCCAGTCATGACCTCGCCTTAGCCTTAGCAAGGGCTGAGTCAGCCGATATAATCATACTACAAGAACCTTGGATTTTTCCGGACCTAGGAAAGAAAGTTACCAAAACACACGCCGACTTCGATACTTTCAGCCCAACAGATCACTAGGAAGTGAGGCCACGCGTATTAACGTACGTCAGGAAAGGCAGAGGGCTTCAGGCCGTTCAAATCCGCCCGGCAAACACCGCGGACATCTGCTGGGTCACAATAATGGGTTTTACGCCCTCAATCACGATCGCCAACGTATACAGACCACCTCAAGAAACAGAAGGAGGTGCCGTGATATGCGCTCTTAAAGAGTTCCGGGTGCCGCCTAATTACATAGTAGCGGGGGACTTCAATACGAGACATCCGCTCTGGGATTCCCGTGCAACAGCTTCGAGAAAGTCTATAGAACTAGCCGATTGGGCCCAAACAAACGATCTAGTTCTCACATCACCAATTGATAAGAGCACACACAGCAGAGGCAACACTCTTGATCTAGCGTTCACCAACAACCCTCACGTCCAATGTAATATCGAGGAGCATCTACACACAACATCAGACCATGAGACACTTGTGTCCATAGTTCCATGCACTAGGCTCAAGCTGCACTCCCCTAGAGTCCAGTTTAGTCTAAAGCCCGAGAGCATTCCACACTTCGCTGCCGGAGTCAAAGAAACTCTCCCGACCGCCGAGTACCTACCACAGGATGTTGATAGGCTCACAAACTTGATAACCCAAATCATCCAGGTCAATATGCAGCGATTCTTACCCAGGAAGATTCAATCCGGGAACGGGACCAAATGGTGGAATAAGGAGTGTGCAAACAAGGCTGTAGAATATCGGAGGGCTAGAAGGCGAGGCGAAGCCACAACAGAGAAACACGCCTTGCGGAAAGCTACACGGGCAGCTAAGAAGGAATTTTGGATGAAAAAGGTAGAAGAGGCTCGCCAACCTAAGGATATCTTCAAAATCACTAGTTGGCATAAATATAATGGATCTTTCGGCTCACCCCCTATAAAACACAACGGAAGTAC